AAAAAAAGCCGCGAAAAAATCCGCAATAATTATGCATCAACCTAATATTTGCTGTTCACCGTATAAAGAACGCCCCAAACTCATTTCTCGTGCTGGTGTTCGATTGAGACGAGCCCTTCTATAAGGCCGATACCGGTGAATTGGACCCAGAAAGCTGTCTTTGCTATAAGTACATCAGTTGACCCTCCTCAATCATCCATTGGCCTTTAGCCTCTTGGGATACTTGATATGTACTTTACAGCAAACATTTCAAAAACAAACCGACCCAAAGGTTCTGGGTCTACACCATCCCCAGCCACTTATCCAACCCTAGCAGACAGAGTGCCCTTCTGACCACGCCCTCTGCCTCAAAACTCTTTCCAATCAGATGACGTTAGATGAAACTTGATATCTAGTAGTCCGAGTGAGCAAGGTGTGGGGCTATGACTGGATCGGAACAGGAGCTTTCAGTACTTTATCCCACACCTTTGGCACCAATAGGAGACGATTGCACTTTTGAGGCCTGACTAAATGGTTGATTGTGGTCAAGGATATTTTCGTCTTACTGAGCTACTGAGAGTTTTTGATTGTGAATAGGGTAGGAACATCTGTCTGTTCTCTAGTGTGATCTACTTAAAATTACTCATAATTTCAGGAAAAAACCGAAAAAATGGGAAATGCACTAAAACAGAGAAACGGTAAATCTTTTGGAAGTGATCAGATAGGGTGCAATGGAGTCGATCACAGTACTGAGGTAGAATCCGAAAATTATTTTTAGCCTCCTAGTTCTAGCAATTATAAGGAAAGCTTCAATACTAATCAGGTGCTTATTCAGGTAATACTGAACACTATTCGCCATACCTCGACCCGTCACTTAGTCATGAATATCCGGTGGCTCCAGAGGCGCTGATTGATCTTCGATATTCTTCTATCGTATCCTCCAGCTTCAGCAATCATTAATTCTTCTCAAAATTTTTTGTAGCTGGTAGTGTTGCTAGTGTAGTGTTAGAGTGGACAGTGACGTTGAAAGTGACGTTTGCATGCAGCTCAGTTGAAAAGCCATAACCCTGACATGAGAGTTGTTTCCTCTCGGATCTGGAGGAAACGATTCTACTAATAGATAAGGGTGCCTGTTAGTCTGTCTCTGTGTATGAGCGACCTAAAATTCATAACTCCTGTTCCCATAAACCTAGGTCGTTCAAGTTTGGTAGGAGAACACGGATGATAGGTGGAAAGAAGTGATTGAGCTGGCGAAATCACANCCTTAGTATGCAACAACACAGTATTGCTAGTTTTTCTTCAAGTGAGCCCTATATGGACATTCTGAGAGCTTCCACGTAAAAGAGGCTGCTGGAGATATCTGACTGAGTAGAAGTCGTAGATGACCGGTTGCGTTGTGCTTCCGAGTCATCATGGACATGTAAATAGCAAAACTTCAGCGGGCAGTGCGAATGCTCTTGACGGTCCTGGCTGCTTCGGCTAGAACTGCTGCTCTTCTCTCTTTCAGATCCTTCTTAATCGCTTCTCTGCATAGCTTCGCCACTTCGGAAGTTAGTTGGTGACTGCCTGTAGCTAGTGCGATTCACAGTCTTCAAAGAGCGATGTCTCTTGGCAAGTTGTAGGCTCTGTGCTTTTCTGTGAGTATTTATTCAGCGTACACACAAGGGTGCGCTACAAAAGCAAGTGGAGAAACGCAACCGGTTACAAACCTAAGCAGCACAAAGGCATGAACCGCACGATGAGAAGGATACTCTCAAGACTCGATGTCTCTAGAAGTCCTGTACGCCTAGCAATGCAAACACGTCTACTTTTCTTGATTTTCTTCTGAACACATTCGTATTAGGTTGAGTCATAAGTCCTCGGACAATGCTACAGTGATGATTTCTAGAGGTCCTCGGGAAAGCGGTGACGAGTAGGGACGCTCGAGGCATCGTTGGATAGAGTTCAAAAAGCTCTTTCAAATACATTCTGACGAACACACCTAACCGTTTCCCTTCCTGCAACCATGCCCCATGATTTCAAGCCGTCGCAACTCCACCTCGCAACACCGCCTTATTTCTTTATTTATCTAGCCAAGAAACGGCAGCAACCGATAGGCGTATGAAGGAACTTTGCAAGGAGGACGCGTCTGCTAAAAGCACAACTTGCAAGTGGCACACGAATTTCGCGTCGGGTGACTATTTCATCGAAGATGAAGACCGTCCAGGACGCTCAATGGAGTTGAATTCGGAGCCAGGTGGAACCCGATCCGAATCAAACTACACGTGAACTGGCAGTCACTCTTGGGGTGGGTCAGTCCGCAGTTGTTCCATGGATTGAAGCCAATCGCAAGATGCGAAAGCTCGGTCGATGGGTGCCTCCTGCTATGAAGCGTATGACATGGACCGCCGCGCCGACATGGCATTTTTTCTCCTCACGCTCAAGCGCACCCACACGTGGCTCGAGCACCTAGTCACTGGGAATGGGAAGTGGATTTTCTACTCTGACGTTCACCGGCGTGCTCAATGGGTTGACAAAGGTGCGGATGCAGAAGACATCCCTAAACCCAACGTACACGCTAAGAAGGTCAGGCTCTCTATCTGGTGGAGCGTTCGCGATGTCAAATGCTGAGAGCTGCTAGACGAAGGAAGTACAGTGATCGCAGACGTCTACGTTAAGCAAAAGAGG